ACCGTGACCCCGGCTGGCTGTGTCACCGTGCCGTGGCTTGTCACCCTCCTGTCCCATCAGGGGCTGTCCCCGCGCTCCCACCTGCCCCAGGTGTTGTGGAAGGGCCACCCGCCCGTCCCCCCCAGCCTGTCCAGGGCACTCCCGGCTGTCCCATGGCTGCCCAGCCCCATGTCCTGCGGGATAACCGGGATTTGAGGATTCCCCGTGCCTCCAGCACAGCTCCTGCCATCCTGGGATGTCCCCATTCCCTGGGGACACCCCTTGGCAGTCCTTCCTTGGGGTCCTGCAGCATTCCCAGGGCAGGGAATGGGCCAGGTGCTTTCTGACCTCTCTTTGCTGAGCTGTGCCTGGCTCCCATCACAGCCCTCTGCCCCAAATCCCCCTTGCCCAGACTGATTTCCCCATCACCATTCACCCAGAGGGTGTTGATGCTTGGAAGGCTGCAGCTCTTGGCTTTTCTTTCCCACCTGGGGCTGGTTTGGGGTCACTTCTGGGGTTTTAGGGTCACTAATGGTGTCCTGGGGTCACTTGTGGGGTCACTTAGAGGTTTTGGTGTTCTGGGATTACTTGTGGGGCAGCAAGGGCCAGTTTGGGGCCACTTGTGTGGTCACTTATGGGGTTTGGGGGTCACTTATGGGTCACTAAGGGAGTTTTAGGGTCACTTATGGGTCACTTATATGTTGCTAATGGGGTTTGGGGTCACCCATGGGTCTGGGATCACTTGTGGGTCAGTTATGGGGTTTGGGGGGCACTTGAGGGTCTGTAATGGGGTTTTAGGTCACTTATGTGTTGCTAAGGGGGTTTGGGGTCACTTGTGGGTCACTGATGGGGTTTTGGGGTCACTTGTGGGGCAGCGAGGCCTGGCTGGAGCAGCGCTGTGGGGCAGCCCTGGAATGGCAGGGCACTGTTGGAGGTGTTGCTGGTGGCCCTGGGGGACATCACCCCCAAGCCCTTTTTCTTCCTTCCTCCTTGTCCCTGGAGTGTTGCAGGAGCTCTTAATGCCAGGCTTGAGGCACACCTGGCCAGCCCGGGCTCGGGCTGTTGTCACAGAGCATCTGTTGCTCCTAATTGCAGGTTTGACTTGCAGCTCCCAGCCCTGGCACATTCCCTGCCCTTCCTGCCTCCAGGCACCCCGTGGGAGGGCGTGGGACCAAATCAGAGCCGGTGTCACCCAGTGTCACCGTGGGGCTGCTCGGACGCGTCGGCTCTGTCCCCAAAAGCCAAGCACAGCACCGTTGTGGGGATGTGGGGATCCAATTCCCACCCCCAGAGGGGTTGGGGTCACCTTCAGGCCCTTGTAGCTGTATCCAACCCTCATGGGAAACGGGGAGCTGCACCCCAAATCCCCGGGGATGGGCGGGGATGAGCTGACAGTGCCTCCCTCACAGGGCCGGGCGCTGGCGGCTGCCATGGCTGCGCACGCTGCTCCTGGCCCCATTCCTCCCTGCACCTTTCCCTTCCTCCTGGCTGGGGCTGGGGCTGGGGAGCTGCACCCCAAACCCCTTGGGATGGGTAGGGATGAGCTGGGATGAGCTGACAGTTCCCCCCTCACAGGGCCGGGCGCTGGTGGCTGCCATGGCTGCGCACGCTGCTCCTGGCCCCGCTCCTGGCCTACGCCTCCGTGCCCTTCCTCATCCGCCTCTTCCCCAGCCTGCTCAACAAATTCGTCTACCTGAACTTCCGTGAGTATCCCGGGGCTGTCCTGACCAGGAGAACCCTCACAGAACACCCCCAGGCTTTCAGCTGGCTGCTGCAGACCCCCCAAAACATGGGTGGCACTGTGCCGGGGTGGCATCAGGACAGTGTTAATCCTGCTGTGCCTTGGGCTAGCAGAGGAGGCATGGAAGGATTTTGCCCGTGTTTTGCAAGCTCTAATTAGGTGCTGCTGCCCACCCTGATTACTGCCTGCAGCCACGGCACGCCCAGGCACGCTCAGCATCAGCGGGACTGGGAATTCGGGTGGGAGGAGGAGGAGGAGGTGGCAGAGGGCTCAGCTCGTCTGGCTCAGCGTGGCCCTTGATAATCTAGAACAAATAACACACTGGTTTAGAAAGAGTTGTGTGAAACAGCTGGGTAGGAGGATTCTGGATGATGGCTGTGGTTTCTCCATCAGTGTCCTTCCCTTTCTTCGTGGACTTTCGGCGGCCGGAGCTGCTGGTGAACAACACCATCAACCTGTACCTCACCACGGAGCCGGGCATCACAGTTGGCATCTGGTGAGCAGGATGGCCTCAGGACATCCCCAGCATCCATGGGGGACAGCAGTGTCCTGGTGGAGCCGCCAGGGTGACCCCCTGTCCCCCCAGGCACACGGTGCCAGGCAGCAGAGGGGCCGAGGCGCAGGGCAAGGACCAGCGCTGGTACGAGGAGGCTCTCGCTGATGGCCACCCTGTGATCATCTACCTGCACGGCAATGGGGGCACCAGGTGAGTTCCTGAGCTGCTGCTGCAGGGCCAGGAGCAGGGCAGGGTGGCTGCTCTGAGGTGAGAAGCAGCAAACTCGATGCAGCAGCAGCAGCAGCAGTGCTGCAGGGCCGGGGCTGCTGCAGAGGTCTCTGATTCTTATAGGAGAATCCCTATAAAATAAAGGGAAAAGTTAAAATCCACCCACCCCACAACATCCAGCTCTGCCCTTCTGGGATCAGGTCACCCTGGTTCCTCACCTGCACTGCTGTTGGAGGGGAGGGTCCCTTGGGGTCCCCCTGAGCTCTAACCCCATTTTCCCCATCAGGGCTGCCAGACACCGTATCCAGTTCTTGAAGGTAAGTGGTGGCCTGTGGGGACACTGGGATCTGCTGGGAGTGAGGCTCCTGCTGGCCCTGGGGACCCCACAGAGACCCTGTGCAGAGTGAATGGGCCATGCTGGGGCTCCTGGGGTGCAGCCCATAACTCAGTGCTGCTCTGACAGACGATGGGGGCTGCTGACTTCCACATCCTGGCTCTTGACTACAGAGGTACAGTTGTCCCCTTGCCTCTTGCTGGGTGATCCCCCTCTTGGGGCCTGTCCCCACAGGGTTGTGACACTGAGCTGTGTCCCCCACAGGCTATGGGGACTCCACTGGATACCCCTCAGAGACTGGCTTCAACACAGATGTCCTGGCACTCTATGACTGGGTGAAAGCACGGAGTGGGAACAGCAGCATCCTCTTCTGGGGACATTCCTTGGGGACAGGGTAGGTGCAGGGTAGGGATGGGGACACACCAGAGCCCACCCTGTGCCACTGCTGCCAGACTGGTGCCACCTGGGGATGGACCAAGGGCTTGGAGCAGCTCCTTGGTGGAGGCCCCTGCTAAGCCAAACGCAGCCAACAAGGGGGACCTGAGGGAGCTGTGTCCCCCCTGTGCTGCTCCCCCTCACTGTCACCTGTCCTGTCACAGGATTGCCACCAATGCAGCGAGGAAACTGCAGGAGGAGCGAGGTGAGGGCCAGCATGGATGGGCTGTCCCCATGCAGTGTCACCCTGCCCTGACCTGATTTTGAGATGAGGAGCCCTCTCTGTCCTCCCTGCTGGCATGGGGACATCTTGGCCCCTCTGCAGCCTGGGAGGGGAGTGTGGCAGCAGCCTGGCAGGGGGACAGCCCCTCAAAGCCATGCCCACCCCCACCTCCCTCTGCCCTCAGGGGTCCAGGTTGATGGAGTTGTCCTGGAGTCTCCCTACACCAACATCCGAGACGCGGCTGCCAACATCCCCGTCACCAAGGTGAGTCTGGGGGCTGCCTCTGGGGTCCCCCAGCAGTGACAGCCCCAGATTCCTGGCTCTCCCCCCTCACAGCTGGATCCAGCCATGGTTTAGCACCCCCAAACTCTCTCCCTGCCAGATCTTCCGGCAGTTCCCGGGTTTTGAGTACCTCATCCTGGACTCCATGGCTCGGGCAGGAATGTTCTTCCCCAGTGATGAGAAGTGAGTTCCTGGTGGGAAGGGGCACAGGGGCTGTGGGAATGATGCCAGGAGCACCTGGCTGAGGAGGGGTGTCAGTTACCCCATTGAAATTCCTGTGTTTACCCAGCTTACTCATACTTCAAAAGCGACTTTTTGTTTGCATAATGTGTTTGATTATTGAGCAAAGTCCACAAGACACCTCCCTTTTTTTGGCACCCCTGTTCCTTGCAGCACACAGAGCCTGCCCAAAATCCGTTTACGGGTGCTTTTGAAATTGGGGGTTAAGGTGATTGGGGTGCTCGGTGCTGCCATGCCAGGAGGGCAAGCAGCGTGGGCATCACCCAGGTGGGCGTGAGGATGGCTCTGAGGGGCAGTGCTGGGGGGATCAGGGTGCTGTGGGAATTTTCACAGGGACTGGGGAGGCTCCTGGGGGGGGTCTGTTGGCTCTGGGGAGCGTCCTCAGGGCTGTGCTTGCTGCCCACAGTGTGAAGGTGCTGGGCTGCCCCCTCCTCATCCTGCATGCAGATGATGATGGAGTCGTGCCTCCGAAGCTGGGACACCAGGTGGGCACCTGCCAGCCAGGCTTGGAGCCTGGCTTTGGAGGCTGAAGTGGCCAGAGAGGGGATGGCCACGCAGCAGGAGGGGTTTGGGGTCCCTGCTGGTGCAGTAACCACGCTCCTGCCCTGTGGCAGCTCTATGAGACAGCACTCGAAGCCTACAAGGACAAATCCAAGGTGAAGTTAATCACCTTTCCCAAAAAGCTGGGCTTGGGCCACGACTACATCTCCTTCAACCCGGAGCTGCCTGCCCTGGTGAAGTAAGTGCTGCTCCACAGAAATGGGGGGGCACACACAGGATGAGCCTTGGCCTCCCCTTCCACTGCTGCCTCCTCTCCTGCTGCCTGCCCCCTGCTCCTTCCCCTCCCCATGGTGTTTGCTGGCATCACTTTCCAAACCTCAGTCACTCCCCTCTGCCCTGAGCCTGTCCTCAGCCTGGGTGGCTTGGGGAGGTGGCTCTGGGGACACCAGCTCCTCTTTGCCCTGGGTGCAGAGGTGCTCCGAGGCCAGCTCAGCCCCACCTGCAGGGATCACAAATCAGGCTCTGACGCAGCACAGGAGGCTCAGTGACATAGTGTAAGATTTATTACATCTTGTTGCAGAGACTTCTTAAACATGAAGTGATGCCAATTGCTGCCTGCACTGATCCCATGCTCCCTCAAATCCACTCCAGGACCCCCCCCTCCATGGCACTGAACTTACTGCTGTAAGTAATAAAAACTACTAAGAAACTTTTAAAGTCACCCTCTGCCTCCAGGATGCTGCAGGTTACTCGAGGGATGGAGACACTGATGTGGGCTGGGCCACCAGAGCCACAACTGGGAGCATCCCAGGGCACACTGGTGGGCCTGGCACCCCCCTATCCTGCTTCAGCAGTGCCTGTGAGGGCCCAGCCAGCTGTGTCCAGCTGCACCCAGGTGGTGGAAGCAAGCCCAGCCCTAATTTTAGCCTCCAGCAAACATCCCCCTCCGGACTCCAACGGCACTTCTTTATTTCCAGCACCTAATGCAAGCAACAGGGCGACGTGCTTTCGCTTCCCACACGACACCTGAGTTATAAAAACCCCTCCCCTCCTGCCCACCCCTAGGGAAAGCCAGCAGCAGCAGCAGCAGCAAACACAGAGACTCAGACAGCAGGGAATTGTACAGCGTGTGTGTGCTCGCCTCCCCCCTAGGCCGCGGTGCCATTGGGGGTCTTGTCCTGCCCCGCGTCCCGGGGCTCGTTGGGTGGGGGGATCTTCAGGTCCGAGGGCTCCACGTGCCAGATGTCCCGGGCGTACTCCTTGATGGTGCGGTCGCTGGAGAACTTTCCAGCCGCCGCGATGTTCCTGATCACCATCTTGGTCCAGGCCTTGGAGTTCTGCAGGGAGTGCACAGAGTGAGCAGGTGGGGAGGGACCTTCAAATCATGGGGTCCAACCCAGCTCCACTCAACGCTGGCCCCCAGTGCCACATCCAGGCTTTGTTAAACACACCCAGGGATGGGGACTGCACCACCTCCCTGGGCAGTGGGGGAGGCCTTTATCACTCTTTCAGTGAAAAAACTTTTATCACTCTTTCAGGGAAAACATTCTTCCTCATATCCAACCTATAATTCCCTTGAGGCAGCTTAAGGCTGTGTTCTCTGGTTCTGTCAGTGCTGCCTGGAGAAAGAGCCCAGCCCCACCTGAGCACAGCCACCTTTCAGGGAGGTGTAGAGAGCAATAAGGTCACCCCTGAGTCTCCTGAGAGGGGTGGGGTTGGCCCCAAGGCTGGTTCTCAGCCAGGGATGCTCTGGGTTGAGATCAGCCTCATCTCCAGCATGTCCAGGATGGGATGTTGTGTCCTGGCACAGCTCCCTGCCCTGTCCCCAGGGTTCTGTCAGTGCTGCTTGCAGAAAGAGCCCAGCCCCACCTGAGCACAACCACCTTTCAGGGAGGTGTAGAGAGTGATAAGGTCACCCCTGAGTCTCCTTTTCTCTAAAGGAGAGGAGTGGGTTGGTGCCAAGGCTGGTTCTCAGCCAGGGATGCTCTGGGTTGAGATCAGCCTCATCTCCAGCATGTCCCCTCTCCAGGATGGAATGTTGTGTCCCAGCACAGCTCCCTGCCCTGTCCCCAGGCTGGCACTCACCAGGTACAGCTCGCTAACCTTCTCCTGGCACTTGACATAAGCCTCGTAGTCTGCAAAGACTTTAAACCTGTAGGAGCAAAGGAAGGAGGAGTCAAGAGCAGAAGGAATAGGAATGCCCTGATGTGAGGTGTTGTCACACCCCAGACCTTTAAATCCAGGGGTAAACTTAAGGTTCCTTTTTTTTTTTTTTTCTTCTGGTGAAATCCCCACCAGATATTCTCAAGAGGTAAAAAAACACACAAAAGTTTACTTGCAAAACCAGAGCAAATTAAGGAAATTTTGGCAAAAAATACAACACTGTATTCAAAGTAAATAGAATGTTGAATTCAATGTAAAACCACTTATCATAGCATTACTTAGCATTAATTTAGTAGTCAGCATTTTCTTAGGATTGATTTAGCATTTGCTTAGCCCATTTAACTGGGAAACCTTTAAAACCTTAAGATGGTATGTTACCCATAAAGCTCCATGAAAGGATTAAGAGAAGGAGAGAGAGAGAGAAAGATGGAAAAGGTACAGAAAAATCATACAGCTACCAACTCCTGGGCTCCAGCGTGGGCGAGGCAGAAACTCCAAGGAAGCCACCAGGGCAGGGTCAGCCATAACGCCCTCGGCGCCTTTTACAGCCCTAGCCCTTTGTAGGCCCGCCCCTAGGCGGGACTTCTTGTTGCTCGACCAATCAGAGGCTGCTTAGTATGACTGATTGGCAGCTCGGCCAATCAGAGGCTCGGTTAGCACAGCCCCACACACCAAGGTGCCATGATTGACAGCTCTGCCAGGCTGAGGGGTCTGGGCACTGCCTCAGCAGAGAGCCAGGCCAGACCCCAGCCCCACACACACAGAGGCGTCCCAAGAACCCCAAAAATGGCTCCAGACATCGATCTAATCCCATCTCTGACAGGCCTCCTCCAACACAAAACCTCTGGCCAAATTATCTCACCTCAAACCTTGTTGGTAAAGGACCCTGGATGCTCCAGGAGGGAAATGCGGTAAAAGCACTTCTCCTATCCCAATGGCCATGACTGACCAGTGCCCTGGCCAGGAAAGCCCTTGAGATGCCTCAAATCATCTGGAAGGGCTGTGCACCCAAAGGCATTAATGTGACAATGGCCATCCATGGAGAGTCTGTGCCTGAGGAGCATCATCCCTGTGCAATGTGGTCCCAAGCCCAGGGGATGGATGGATGGTACCCCAGCACCTCACCTGTCGTGGTGGAAGAGCATGTTGACCACGTCGTTGAAGAGGTTGGGGTCTTTTGGGGAGAAGAAGCCACTTTTAATCTGGTCCACAGCCTGTTTCAGCTCCGGGAGCCGGTCGTAGTAGAGCTGGGCATTGTACCTGAAGGGAAGGAGGCCATAAAATGGTGCTGCCCCAGGGACCTGAGGTGGCAGCGCTGTGGCATCCCCAGCCCTCACCCTTTCCTGTCCAGCTCCGTGACATCCTCCACCCTCATGCCGAAGATGAACAGGTTTTCCTCTCCAGCCTCCTCGGCCATCTCCACGTTGGCTCCATCCATGGTGCCGATGGTCAGAGCCCCGTTCAGCATGAACTTCATGTTCCCTGTCCCCGAGGCCTCGGTGCCCGCTGTGGAGATCTGCTCTGACAGGTCGGTCGCAGGGATCACTGCCAACAAAACACACCAGGGGCTCGTGATGACCAGACCAGCTTTGGGTTTGCTTCCTGCTGAAGGCCCATGGTGGGAGCCATGGCATGGAGGGACGCCCCCTCCCCACTGCATGTCCCAGCCAAGGTACCTTTTTCTGCCAGGGACACCCTGTAGTTCTCCAGGAAGATGACCTTCAGCTTGCTGCCAACCACGGGGTCGTTGTTCACCACCTGAGCCACGGCGTTAATGAGCTTGATGATCATTTTAGCCATGTGGTATCCTGGGGCAGCCTGGGAGAATAGCCACAGGTGAGCCAGGAGAGCTGGTGCCAGGGGCAGGTGAGGCACAGCCAGCTCCCAGTGTCCAGGGAACAACCTGTTCATCCCTGTTCCCATCACCACGTGTCACACCACAACATTTCTGGGGGCTTCCATGACCACAGACAGCAGACGGTTGTCCAAACCCCCCACAAACTTGCTTGGGTTGAAGCATCAGTGCTTTTTGGGACAACTTTGTGGACTTAACACCATGGAATCATGGAATTGTTTAAGCTGGAAAAGCCCTCGAATCCAACTATTCCCCCTCCACTGTCAAGGTCACCACTGACCCATGTCCCCAAGTGCCATATCCACATGTCTTTCAAGTTCCTCCAGGGATGAGGACTCCACCACTGCCCTGGGCAATGCCTGACCACCCTTTTGATGAAGAATTTTTCTTAATATCCCATCTAAACCTCCCTTGGCACAGCTTGAGGCCATTTCCTCTGTCATGTCCCTCGTTCCCTGGAAGAAGAGACTGACCCCTGCCAGCTGCACCCTCCTGTCAGGGAGTTGTGGAGATGTAGCCCCCAGATGAGACACCTGCACCCACATCCCACCCCAGGACACTTCCTCCAAAATCTCTAAAACCCCTGACCCAACTTACCTTGCCTCCAATGATCACTGTCCTGGGCACAAAGAGCTTTGCAGGATCCCTCCTGATTCCTGGAGAAAACAGCAGGGTCACTGTGGGATGTGGGGCACAGGGAAGCTGCTGCAGCCCCGGGGCACCCTGTCCCCTCGGGTGGCTTACGGTTGTACATGGTGATGATGTGCAGGCAGTTCATCAGCTGCCGCTTGTACTCGTGGATCCTCTTCACGTGCACGTCAAACATGGAGGAAGGGTTGATCTTCACCTTGTACTCCTTCTCCAGGTACAGCGCGAACTTCACCTTGTTCTCCTGGGCCAGGGCAGGGACCACGTCAGCCCCCAGGGAACACCAGCCCTGCTCTCTGCTCCCCCTGCCCACGCCCCTCACCTGCTTCACTTTGGCCACCTCCCGGATGAAGAGGTCGTCGTCCACAAACTTGTGCAGCTTGGTCAGCTGGCTCAGGTCCCGCACGTAGTCCTCCCCGATTTTCTGCAACAGGAGCAAGGGCACATGCTGATGGTGGGGTGGTTTGGGATGGAAAAGATCTTGAACATCATCCAGTTCCACCATCTGCCATGGGCAGGGACACCTTCCACTATCTCAGGTTGCTCCAAGCCCTGTCCAACCTGGCCTTGGGCACTTCCAGGGAAGGGGCAGCCACAGCTTCTCTGGGCACCCTGTGACAGGGCCTCACCACCCTCATGGGAAGAATTTCTTTCCAATATCCCATCTAACCCTGTCCTCTGTCAGTTTACATCCATTCCTCCTTATCCTGTCACTCCATCCCTTGTCCAAAGTCCCTCTACAGCTCTCCTGAAGCCTCTATAGACACTTGAAGGGGCTCTAAGGTCTCCCTGGAGCCTTCTCCAGGCTGAACACTCCCAGCCAGGCAGAGTCAGGAGCATCTCCGTGGCCTCCTTTGGACTTGCTCCAGCAGCCCCACATCCTTCTGCTGTTGGAGACCCCAGGGCTGAAGGCAGCTCTGCAGGTGAGGTCTCTCCTGAGCGGGGCAGAGGGGCAGAATCCCCTCCCTTGACCCTGAACCACCCAGAAGAAGTGACTGGCTGAGGTTCCCTGGCACCCTGGGCTCAGCAGGGAAGGGTCAGTGGCCTGAGGGCGCTCCCCCCGTGCCGGTACCTCCGCGATGAGCTCTGCCAGCCCCGGGTTGCAGAGCAGGAGCCAGCGCCGCGGGGTGATCCCGTTGGTCTTGTTCTGGAACTTCTCCGGCTCCAGCTCCGCAAAGTCCTCGAACCTGCGGGGGCGAGGGTGGCACAGCTCCAGCCTTGCCCACCTGGCACCAGCACCCTTCCCCAGCCCAGGGTGAGCCATCAGCACCTCCCTCCCCTCACTCACACTTGAGTCTTGACAATCTCGGAGTGGATCTTGGCCACGCCGTTGACGGCGTGGGAGCCCACGATGCAGAGATGGGCCATGTTGATCCTCTTGGTGTCCCCCTCCTCGATCAGGGACATCCTCCGCAGCCGGTCCACGTCATTGGGGAACAAGGACGCGATGTGCTGCCGGGGGAGCCAGGGAGGCGGTGAGAGGGGGTGGCACTGAGGGGTGTCCCACCCCATGGCTTACGAGGAGGGGCCAGGACAATGTCCCCAGTGCATTTGACACCAGCCAGAGTGGTGGCTTTTGCTCTGTTGTGGTGGTGCAAACTCCCTCCAAAGGGTGCCCTTTCTCAGCAGGGATGTCTCTGGATAGGAGGATCCCCCCAAGCTGCCACACAGAGGGGTTTGGGGGCACACACTTGGCCAGTGAGGCCATTTGGGCAAAAGCCTTGTGCTGCCAGACCAGGAGGTCAAACCACTCCCAACATCCTCTTTCCCAGGATGAATTTAGGAAGTGAAGAAATGCCAGCTCCCAAGTTCCTGAAGCAGCAGGTGAAGCTTCCCAACAGTCACTAACTGCAGGATGGCAATGTGCTGGTGGGAAAGGGCTCTCCTACACATCAACTTCCCAAAATAGCAGCTGGAATCCCCCAGCCCCACACCCAACATCACCAGTTTGTGCGTGCCCCTCCTCCTGACAGTACATCCCTGTCCCCCTGCCCAGAGTAGGCTCCCAGGCACTCACATCCAGGTGTCTCTGGTTGATCTCGTAGATGATCTGCAGGTGCCTGGGGAGCAGCTTCTCCACCAGGTCCACGGGCCAGCGCTCCAGGGCCTCGGGAAGCACCGTGTGGTTGGTGTAGGCAAAGGTCCTTTTGGTGATGTCCCAGGCCTGGCAGGGAAGAGCCAATGCTCAGTCACACCTCAAGTGCCAGAACCCACCCTTGGTCCTCCCACCACTCCCAGCAGCACAGCCCAGCCCAGCCCAGCCAGCTCCTCCCAGCCCACACCAGTTAAACCCAGCCTGACCGCTCCACATCATTCCCAGCAGACACAAAACTGGTTCCTCCACCATGGGCAGGTGGGTGCAGGTGCAGGAGACCAGGTGGGGTGTCCCTACCTTATCCCACGGCAGCTTCTCAATGTCCACAAAAATCCTCATCAGCTCAGGGATGGCCATGGCGGGGTGCGTGTCGTTCAGCTGGATGGCAACCTGGGAGAGCAGGGTGGCACATGGGGACACAGGGGGGACACTGGGAACCCCACAAAGGGCCTACAAACATCTGCATCCTCTGGGAGGTGTTGACACAAGCTCCAAGGCAGAGGTGGGAGCAGCCCTGGCTCGTACCTGGTCTGGGAAGGAATCAAACACGGTGCGGACGCTGTCCGTGCTCCCGAATTTGGACGCTTTGAAGCGGCGGATGATGTCCTGCAGGGTGGCAGCCACCACAAAGTACTCCTGCTTCAGCCTCAGCTCCTTTCCTTCGAAGAACTGTGGGCAGAGGAGCAGGGAACTGCAGGATTCCTGCAGGATTCCCTGCACTTCCTGGGGGAAGGTTTTCCCAGGGTGTGCTTCCCCCAGCATCACTTGGAACCCCAAACTCTTCTTGCTTCCCAAATTCCAGGACAAGGGTTTGGGATGTGCTGGTACAAACAGGTTAAATCCCACCTGAGCATTGTCAAAACAGTTCTCAGTGGTTTGAACATTTTGGCTGCAAGGAAAGGTACCAGGATAATGGGAAGGGAAGCTATAGGAGCTAATTCCAAGACAAGGATTTCACCACCATTCATGCAGCAAAAAACATCAAATGCAAAGGAAAAGCTGCAGGAGACAACCTCACCACTGGAGCTGCAGTGCCTCCAGCTCTCCTCACCAGCTGGGAAGGCTGGAGGAGGATTAATTGGAAAAACATCATCAGGACCTGCCTCAAACAGGATGCAGGGCAAGGAGAGCTTCCCTTTTTTATTTTCTTCCTGCTCCACAGCTTGGTTTGTGGCTAGGGAAAGGTTGTGTGTCCCGCCACACTTCAGTGCCAGCCTGGCAGGAACTCCCACAGCAAGAGGCTGGGGTGCAAACAGCAATTTTGAGGCACAGCCTCTGGTCCCAGGGTTGCAAAGGGCCACCAGGGTAACACCAGCAGCGTTCAGCAGCTTGATTCACGTTACATTCTGAGACTCAAGGAACGTTTCTGCAGCAGGGCTTGCTCATCCCCACTCACTCTGGGCAAAGCTCAGGGGAACAGACTCACCCTGGTGAGAGGCAGCAACCCTCATCCAAGCACTGCAGGCAGCTTGAAACACAACTAAAAACATCTCTGCAGCATCCTGGAGTGAGGAGCTGCTCCCGTTCCCCCTCCATCCCTAAAGGACCCCCTAAAACGCCACGACTCACGTTGTCATTGGGGTAGAGCACCCGGGAGATGTTCTCGGCCAGGTTCCTGTCCAGCACGGCCTGGATGTAGTCCCCGACGTTGACTGGGGAGGAGCAGAGGGTGAGGTGGGCGTGGGACCCCCCAGCTGTGCCCACCCCACCCCAGCCTGCCCAGCTCCCACTCACAGTCGCGCAGGTTGAAGTCGTTGGGAGCGCGGGCTGACCACAGGCGCATGGTGTTGACCGTGTTGTTCATGTAGCCGGGCACGGGCGTGTCGTAGGGCAGTGCCAGCACCACCTGTGACATCCCCAGGACAGCTGGAATTGGGCTGGGATCCCCCCCATGCCCCCCCCTGGAGCCCTCCCATCCCACAGAGCCTGCTGCTCAGGGCTGAGCTCAGCCTGGTGTCCCTGCACGTCCTTGGTACCCCTGCATGGGGACACCCCTCTGGCTCTGCCTGCTGCCTGGTGTTTGCCAGAAGTGCTCAGGGCATGGAGAGTGGCTTCATGAAGAGTGTAAAGGTCAGGAGCAGCTTAATTTAGGTTTAATTTATTCCTGCTGGAGCTGCTTTTGGTATTTTGTAGAATCCCAGAATGGTTTGGGTTGGAAGGGACCCTAAAGTCCATCTTGTTCCAAGCCCCTGCCATAGGCAGGGACACTTCCCACTAGACCAGCTGCTTCCAAGCTCCATCCAACCTGGCCTTGGACACTTCCAGGGATGGAGAGCTTGGCTGCAGATGTGGAGCAGCCAAATCTTTGCTCATGCCCATGTCCATCTCCACCCCACTGTGCCCCACCACCGCCTTTTCCATCCCAGCCCAACCTTCCCGGCAGAGATTCTGCAGGACTCATCCCTGGGGTGCAGCCAGCCAGGGAGAGCCCCCCAAATGACAGGACAAGCCATGCAAGGGACACTCCTGTCCCCAGCCCTTACCTGGGTGTCAATCCACTTGGCACCAGAGGCAGAGTGCTCCACCCGGCCGTAGAAGTGCACGGGCAGCATGTACTCAGGGCGGGCCTTCTCCCAGGGATTGCCATGCCTGAGCCAGTCATCAGCCTCTTCCACCTGCCAGGGGGACACACAGCAGTGACAGGGCCACCCACCCTGGGATCCCCCACAACTGCAGCATGGCTGGGCCAGGATGCCTGGGAAAGGCTCTGCTCATGGCAAAGGGGAGGATGCTCTGAGCGTGTCCACCCTAAACCTAGATTTTGGCACAGCAGGGTCAGCCTGGAGGTACCACCCTGAACTCTGGGGTGTCTGTGCCTTCCATGAGGATGGGGACAAACCCAAGGTTTCTCTTTAGTGCACTGCTAATGTTGCATTTCCAAACCAGCCTCTTCCACAAGAGCAACACAACTGCTCCATCCTCACCCGCTCCAGGCAGCCATGGAGCAGCTCTTGGGGTGGCCCTGAGCTCTTGGGGTGGCCCATGTTGAGGATGGGGACGAGGGATGGAGCTGTGAGCTTGCACTGGGTTAAGAAGTTAAAATTGTTCATGAAAATATCTGTTAAACTTTAAATATCACAGCAGCAGCCTCTGAGCTGAGGGGAAGTGTCTGTACCCCCCAATTAAAGGGCGAGGAGGTGAATGTGAGGTTCCAGCTGTGCCAGGGGACAGTGAGGGCCACACATCTCCAGGCACACCTGCCAGCCATCCCGGATCTTCTGGTTGAAGATGCCGTACTCGTAGCGGATGCCGTAGCCGTAGGCTGCCAGCCCCAGCGTGGCCATGGAGTCCAGGAAGCAGGCTGCCAGGAGAGAGCAGAGCAGTGAGCTGGGGACCCTGCAGCCCTGGGAGATGGATCCTTCTCCCTGGGACACCCACAAGCCCCACAGGGACAGGAGCCGGGGCCAGCGGGCACCCAGCAGCACCTTGCTCTGTGCTGGAAAGGCTGGAGCAATAAGCCCCAGGATTAGGAAGTTCCCACAGGGGATGTAAAGCCCTGGGGGGGTCACTCACCTGCCAGCCTGCCCAGACCCCCGTTGCCCAGCCCAGCATCCTCCTCGATTTCCTCCAGCTCTTCCATGTCCAGCCCGAGCTACAGATGGAAAAAAGGAGAGGGGCTGGAGGCTGTCAGAGTGCCCAGCCCCACAGAGGAGGGCATTGTTGGCACACAATCCCTTGGAGGTGGGTTCCAGGAGGGCTAGAAAGGCACCCAATTCCACAAGACCCATCTCTGCAGGTGGGACACTGTGATTTGCACCCAAAGCAGCTGCTCTCCCCCTCAGCTGTGACTGTACCATGGCAGGGACCATCTCCCATGTTTAAGGTCACTCTACCAGGCTTTACAAAGGGACATTCACACTCTTGACCTTGCCAGATCTGGGCAAGATCTGGGGATTTGGAGCACCAAACTATAACCAGGGCACTGCCCTTGGGGTTCCAGACTCTTCCAAGGGCTCTGAGAGGTCATTCCCAGGCCTGCTCCCTCTCTCCATGGCTGCAGCCCTGCAGGGGCAGGCACCAGGCTCCTGCTCCCTACCTGTTCCAGAACCCCCCAGGTGGAACATTCCTGCTCCCCCAGCACCCCTATTCCTGGGGGAAGGCACCTGGGTGCCACCCTCCTGCTCCCCCAGCACCCAATCCCTTGGGGACAAGATCCAAGTGCTGTGTTCCTCTCCCTCAGCACCTCCATCCTCTGGAACAGGCACCCAGGTGCCCTTCCTCCCAGCTGCAGGCATCACCCTTTAGGGTGAGAAGCTCTACACCTCTTTTCCATGGAAATTTAATTTTTCCAGCCTAGGATGCCGTAGGAGGAAGTGGTTTTGCCTATGCAAAACTCCTTGGGGAGCTCAGGTGGAGACCTTTGGTCCATTGCCCTGCCCTGATGTCCCCTGATCACAGCAAGTGGGGATAAAAAATTTTAACCCCCCTAAAAATAACTTCCTCTCCTTTGTAGTGTTTGCACAAAAGCTGTTCCTGCTCTTGTGCAACCACCCTGGCCACATCTGATGATGTTGAACACCAGAGGTGACAGGGTGGGGACAAAAGGAGCCACCCAAAACCCTCTGATCACCCCAGTGCCACCTGGTGCCAGCACCCAGCTGGGCTTAATTCAAGCTTTTATTCCCCCCTGCCACTGATCATGGACATGAACAGCCTCATCCACAGAATCACCAGTGTCCTGCCAGGATCCTGCTGCATTCCCAGAACACACAGCCAGGCTGGGCAGCTCCAGGCCTTTCAAGGGCAGGTTCTGGAGCAGCCTTCATTCCCTAAGCCATCCCCTGTGGCTCAGGGAGCAAAACATGGACATTCCCAGGAGCTGGAAAACAAGGATCCCTGCCAGGGCACGTCCTCAGCCCTGGTGGGATGCTCACCTGGTAGACAGCCTCATCACAGGCGTTCTGCAGCCCCAGGTTAATCATCGTGTTCTGCAGCGTCCGCCCCATGTAGAATTCCAGGGAGAGGTAATAAATCCTCTGGAAGAGAAAAGCACCCCGTGGTCACCTTGCCCAGGGCTTGAGGAGGCTGCCCTGGACTCCAGAAGCTGCTGTTGTGTGATATCTCAAAAACAAACAGGGAAAAAACCCCGGCTTCAACAGAGCAGGGTGGTTTGCACCAGGAATTCCAGCTTGTGGCTCCTGGGGGACCCTGCAGCCCCTGCCCTGCTCTCCTGCTCAGGCTGTTCCACTTGGACAAGCCCCATTGCCCTGTCCCAGGGTGGGGACAGCTCCACCGCGGTCACCGGTGGCAGCACTAAGTTAAACTTCAAAGAGGAGCCGTTTCCTAATGTCACTCCGGGCTGCAAACCACCGGAAAACCGAGCGAGCTGCCGGGGCCAGGCGGTGGCCGTGGGGACATGGGGCCGTGGGGACACTGCCGCTGACACGGCGGGCGCAGGATGCGGCCGCTCCGGCCTTGTGTAAGCCGAGCCCCGGCGTCAGCACCGGCAGGTTTTAAGGAAGGATTTAGGCTGGGGGAAGTCGCTGACTCGACAGCTTTCCTTCCCCAGGACCTGCGGGGGTCGGGCGGGGAACGGAGGTGGGATAGAATCCTGGGGTCCTAAAATGCTTTGGGGTTTGAGGGAGCACAAATCGCCCCGTTCCAACGCTCCTGTCACGGGCAGGGTGTGCTGGGCAGGGTGCACTGGGATTTACTGGTTTGACTCCAGCAGAGCCGGGAGCAGCGACTCCAGGCAGGCAGCACCCGGCTCGCCTGGGCTGCACGGGAGAATCCCAACCCCAAACCCTGCAAGAGGCTCCTTTTGCTCACCCCTACACAGCACGGGGGAGCGCTGAGCTATCGCGGCTGGCACGCTCCCAGCGAGGTGCTGCCAGGGAGGAAATTGATGCCGACAGGGACATCCAGGTGTCAGCAGGGGGATTAGGGCTTAATCCCCCCCGGCAGAGCCCGGAGCAAGCCAGTGGGACGAGCAGCAGCACAGCAACTCCTGCACAAACCGGATCTCTCACGCTTGGCATCACTTGTGTTAAACAAGACCTGTTTGCGGTTGCTTTCGGGTGCCTTTAAGCCTTTCCAATAATTCCCCGGGGAAGGCTTTGGAGTTGGTTTTGGTAGACAGCACCCACGCCGGCGCCGCGGGACAACAAGCGGCGTTCCCATGCCCTGCACCCCGCTGCCGGCCAAGCCGGGCTCTGTTTGTTTTGCAGAGCAAAGGACAGTGGCCTCGCTTGGTAAAGTCCAGTCCCTCCTCTCGGAAAAGTTACCGGAACGGCCCTAAACCCACGGAAAACCGAGCCCCGCCAATCCCTCTATTCCAGCGCCGAGGGAGGGTTCCCATCCGCGGGGTTCCCATGGTTCCCACCCCAGCCACAACCACCGTGGGGGGTTCCCAGCACCCCGCCCTGCACGGGGGGCTCCCCCTGTATCCCGCCGCTCCCACCTTGGGATCCTTCTCGTAGTAGTACTGCTGCGTGCGGATCCAGCGCCCCACCAGGTGGTCCCGCACGGTGTGGGCCAGGGCGAAGTAGTAATCGCGTGGGGTGGCCACATTGCGGTCCTTGACCAGGGTGAAGTGCAGGTGCCGGTTGAAGCCGCGCTTGAGCTCGGCCACGCTCTCGGCGCCCACGATGCCGCGGATGCTGATCTGCTTCCGCCGCTCCTGGTCCGACAGCGGCCGCGACATCGCGGCGGGGCTGCGGGGACACGGGGAGGGGGGACACGGACACACGGGCTGGGCTCCGGCGCCGCGTTCCGCCTCCGCCCCGAGCTGGCACCGCCCCGGGAGGGGACGGGATGGGGACGGGGATGGGGACGGGCCCCGCCAAGGGCCGCCCACGAGTGGGGCGGGAGCGGCGGCCGCCACCGGGGGAGCAAAGGGGGGACCCCGAGGAGGGACAGATCGACAGAGGGGGGTGCAAAGGGGGGAATCCCGAGGATTGGACAGAGCGGGGTGCAAAGGGGGGAATCCCGAGGATTGGACGGAGTGGGGTGCAAAGGGGGGAATCCCGGGGATGGACAGAGCGGGGTGCAAAGGGGGGACCCCGAGGATTGGACAGAGCGGGATGTAGAGAGGGGAATCCCGGGGATTGGACGGAGTGGGGTGCAAAGGGGGGAATCCCGGGGATGGATAGATCGGGGTGCAAAGGGGGGAGTCCCGGGGATTGGACGGAGTGGGGTGCAAAAGGAGGAATCCCGGGGATTGGACAGAGCGGGGTGCAAAGGGGGGAATCCCGGGGATGGACAGAGCGGGGTGCAAAGGGGGGACCTCGAGGATGGACGGAGGGAAGTGCAAAGGGGGGACTCCAGGAATGTGGCCGGGGGGTGTCCCGGGGACCGCCCCTTGGCTGGGTCACCGAGGGTTGTGCAAAGGGGGGAGCCCCAGGGTCGCGGAGGAGTGTGCCAAGGGAGGGGGACCCCGGGTATGGACAGAGGGGTGTGCGAAAGACAGGCGGAATTCGCCGGGGCACAGAGGGGTCTGCAAAGCGGGGGGGATGCTGGGGGTCTCAGAGGGATGCGCAAACGGGGGCCCGTGGGGGGATGTGCAGAGGGGGTGTCCCGGGCCGGTGCAGAGGAGGGGCCGGGGCAGAGCCGGAGCCCCCGGGCGGAGCGGAGCGGTCCCGGCGCGGCCACCGCCCCCCAGCGCTTCCCACGGAGCGACCGCCCCCGGCCGGGACCGCCCCACGCGTGGCCCCGCCCGCGGGCAGCCTCTGCTGGAGCACGTACGAGGAAGGTGCCGGGAAAACCCGGAAAGGGTCGTGCTGTGTCCCCCCGTGTCGCGATCCACCCTCGCGTCACGGCTTCCCCCCCGTGTCACGGTCCCACCCCTGTGTCACGGTTCTCTGCGGTGTCACGGCCCCTTCCTGCCCGACTGTCCCCCGCCCTCCCCCGCAGCATTTCCCGGCCCCCTCCCTTTCCCCCCCTGGCTCCTCACAGTCCTCTCTCTGCCCGCAATCCCTCTGGAAATGGTGTGGGGTCGCTTTCCCCCGCTCCGGGCTCTTCCCGGCTGCCTCCCGCACCGTGGCTGCCGCAGGACCCTGCCCTGCCCTACCTCCGGTTCCTCCCAAGGGCAAAAATATCCGATATGAGCTTCCAACGCAACACTTTCTCCTCCCCATCCTCCTTATCCTCCTCCTCCTCCTCCTCCTCCAGCCAGGCTTTCCAGGCTGTTTTCCCTGTCCTGGCCTCATCTCCAGCAGGGTGGGCAGCAAGGCAAGGAAATGGGATTGAGCTGCTCTGCCTCACTCAGGTGAGACCCCACCTGCAGTGCTGCATCGAGCCCTGGGGTCCAGCATCGGGAGGATGTGGAGCTGCTGGAGAAAGTCCAGAGGAGGCCCTGGAGCTGCTCCAAGGGCTGGAGCCAGGCTGGGAGAGCTGGGAATGTTCCCCTGGAAAGGAGAAAGCTCCAGGGAGAGCTCAGAGCCCCTTGCAGGGCCTGAAGGGGCTCCAGGAGAGCTGGAGAGGGACTTTGGAGGAAGATCTAGAGTGACAGGATGAGGGAATGGCTTGGCAGTGCCAGAGGGCAGGATTAGATTAGATTAGATCCATGCACAGGCTTCCACCCAGAGAGTAACAGACTCACAGAATCATGGAATGGTTTGGGTTGGAAAAGAGCTTAAAGATCATCTAGTTCCACCCCCTGCCATGGGCAGGGACACCTTCCACTGTCCCAGGCTGCTCCAAGCCCTGTCCAGCCTGGCCTTGGACACTTCCAGGAATGGGGCAGCTACAGGGCACGCTGTGCCAGGGCCTCACCACCCTCACAAGGAAGAATTTCTTCCCAATACCTCATCTAAATCTCTCCTCTGTCAGTATAAAACCATTCCCCCTTGTCCCACTGCCACAGATGCTCTGGCCCTGGGCTGTTCCCTGTGCTGTACATGACTTTCAGGCTGGTTTTACATGCTGCAGGGAAGATGCAGTTTCCTGTATCTCCGGTGTTCCTGGCACATTCCCACTCTGGAAGGAACAAGCATCCTTCTGAGATGCACTTCATGCATTAGCATTTTCTTCTTTAGCCCTGGACTCGAGCCCGTGATGAGCTCAGAGGCTGCACATTGAAAACCTCTCCTGAGCCACTCTGGGAAAACAGAGCAGGCACTGATATCCCAGCAGCGAGTCCTTCTCACGGCCCTGGGAGAACTCTCCATGCTGTTCCCTTGGAAATGGCTCCCCCTCCATTGATCCCTTTGAATTCTGCCTCTATTTCATCTCCCTGGGGAGATGGTGCTCTGTATCCAGCCTTGCTCATTCCTCCCTCCTTCCAGGGATCCAGGGCCTTCTCTGGCCAAGCAGTGCCAGGGCCTCCCACCCTCACAGCCAAGAATTCCTTCCTCCAGCAGCTCCCATGGCCCCCTCCCTCCCTCCCTCCCATTGACTGAGTTCTGTGTGATCTCTGCTGCTGCCTCTGGCCAAGGACGGTGAGGGATGTGCACCAGGGGCCATGAGATGGGAAGTGAAGCACAAGAGATGCTCTGGAAGCTCTGCCCTTCTCTGGTAAAAGTCCTTTATTAGAACGGCAAACATGACATTGTCGTCAGTACAGCGGCTGTGTGCGGCTACCATCGCGCAACGGGGGGACGACGTCTTACAATCACTGGGACTCTAAGAAGCACCATGGACACCCTAAAGAACGGGGGATGACTTAGGCTGAGAGAGGAGCCCCGGGTGAGCCGGCCACGGGGGCTCCTCAGGAATCCACCCGGGAGCTGCCCGGCGTTGTCCCGCAACACGGCTCGGGCAGCTGGGAGGAACTCCTCGGCGGGAGTCAACGAGATAGCACCCATCCAATAAATTAGGAAAACCTAATGCTAGAGCAACAAGGGGCTGTCCTAGAGGAGGGCAGGCTGGGAGGGAATGGGCTATTTACATTTGTCTTTCTGCTGGGCCGGCGCTCCCGTCGCATCCCGCCCGGAGCCGGGCTGGGAGCGATCCCGCTGCCCGTCCCGGCTCCGCGGGGACAGCGAAGCGAAGCGAGGGGACAGCGCATGCAGGCGCTCTCGGCTCCGTACGGGGCTGGCACTGTTCCTCTCCTGCCTCTGGATTACCAGAAAGTCGAGCAGGGGACGGCGGCCGGCGGGAACTGCTGCCGGCAGCAGGCGCGCGTTCCTGAGTGCGGGGCTGTGCTCTCCTTCCTCCCCATCCCATCCCCGCCCCCGGGCTCTCTGTCAGACCCTCGCTGCAGAATGAATTCTCCGGTGATTGGAAGGACACTATCAGTTGAATTTAAGGCTAGGCTTTATATGGCAACTATAAAAAAATAAACACTAATCTCCAAAGAGCCGGGTGAGGGCTCTCCGGTCTATGGCTGTGCACCGAGGTGTGGGGGGCCCCTGGAGAGCCCCCCGTGGGCATTCAGCACCCAGCCAAGGGCCTGCCAGCACCTGGAGCACCTGGGGACAGGATGGCCACCCCCTGCCCCGCACAGATGCCCCAGGGGGACACAGCACAGAGTGGGGTGTTTTGGTAAGGACATGGAGACTGACTGGTAATCCAGGACCCACCTCTACACATGACCGAGGGTGCTCTGCAAGAAAGGCCACAGGGGAAAGAAATAATCCTGCAAAGTAACCAGGCTGGCGTGGGTGGAAGCGTTCCCGTGGTGGGGTCCCTCGGGCTGCCCCCACGGGCGGGGAAAGCGAGACAGAACTGCCCCCTCCCCCAAAACCCCAACTCAAATTAGGAAAACCAAACCTAAAAGCAGACACAGGAGAACAGCTCAGGCTACCTAGGTACTTCATCAGCCAAGGAGAGCTAAAGAGCAAAGCGCACACACACGGGACAGCGTGGAGGCCGGAGAGCAGAGGCGGCCCAAAGCCGGGATCTTCCTTCCTGATTCCTTCCCCATCTCCAGCCGGAGGCCGAGCAGGGACCCAGCAGCTGGGCAGGGACCTGGCAGCTGGGCAGGCACCCAGCAGCTGGGCAGGGACCTGGCCTTGTCCTGCAGGAGGGAACGGGCTGGCTCCTCTCACCCCGGGAAGAGGCAGCCGGCTCCGGGAGCATCCTCAGGGCATGGCCGAGCGCGAAGCGTAGAACTCGGGCACGGGCAGCCCGGTGTGCAGCGTCACCTGCAAGGACAGACACGGGGCTCAGCTGTGTCCCAGGGCGCCTGCTGGGACAGCTCATAGCATGGCAGCTGGCACATTGTCCCCAGAGAGGGCAGGAGCAGCACTGGGGACAGGCAGGATGTGACTGGAGAGGCGGGTGTCCCCAGAAGTGTGGCAGTGGCTCCATCTGGCTTGTTCCTCACTTTTCTGTGCTGCTGGAGTGAGCTGGGACTGCTGGTAGCAAGCTCCAAGTACTCCCAGCTGGCTGTGTAGAAATCCCACAGCTGGCTGCCAGAGAGGTGGGACATGGCAGGAGCTGGGTCTTTGTGCAGGTGAGATGGACAAAGGGGATGGGGGGACCTGAAGGACAGTGAAGACATTAGAGGAGATCTTGGAGAAGCCCCTGGGCTGAGTGGGGATGGGGACAGAGAGGGGACAGGGATGGTGGAGGGGATATGGCTCTTTTCTGGTGGGAGCAGGGAGCTTTGTGGTGGGAGAGCTGAGCAGCATCAGGATGTTGGGGCAGGGCCATGCTCACACAGGGTGAAATTCAGTTCCCTCCACAAATGCTTTCATCTGGAAGGAGAGCACAATTCCTCCTTTTATTGCAGCAGCAGTAGCAGCATTTCTCCCTTCAGATACAGATTTGCAGAAAACTGTCTAAAATACAGAGATTTCCCTCCTAATTAGAGTTGTTTTCAATCAGGCATATACCTCTGAAAAAGCATAATAAATGGCTTGGCTTAATTAGCAGCCTTTGATCAGCATCCCAAGGGATTTCTGTGCTGTCAGGGGATTTAGGCACTGCCTTGCCCAGGGAACTCACAAAAGCCAAGGGGCTCCAGAGATGCCTTGTCCCTTATGGCTATGTAGAGAACTGGGGTAGGAGTTAAACCCAGCACTCAGCAGGATGCTTTTACCACACCAAATTACTACAGCACCTCCAAACCCAGCACAGAAACATGGGCTTCGTTAGCATTTCCTAATTAAACATTTCTCCAAGCCAGGCAGACTCCCCTGCCAGTGAGACCCTTAGGGTGGGAAAATTTGGCAAGGATGCTCCCAAAGTTTGGGATGGTCCCAACCCACCTTTGTCCCAGTGCTGCTGGAAAATTGTCACTGCCTTGGTGACAGTGCAGCAAGCCCTGGATCCTGATGGACACAGTAGAGCATGTCCTAATCCATGGATCCCTGATTCACAATGATCCTGATGGACATAGCAGAGCATGTCCTAATCCATGGATCCCTGATTCACAGAGGCCACTTGGTGCCTCTGCCCTTGCACAGAGGTGATCATAAAATCCTGGAATGGTTTGGGTTGGAAGTGACCTCAAAGTTCATCTCATTCCACCCCCTCCATGGCAGGGACACCTTCCACTGTCCCAGGCTGCTCCAAGCCCTGTCCAGCCTGGCCTTGGGCACTTCCAGGGATCCAGGGGCAGCCACAGCTGCTCTGGGAATTCTATTCCAGGGCCTTCCACCCTCACAGGGAAGAATTTCTTCCCAATATCCCATCTCCTCCTGCCCTTTGGGAAGCCATTCTCCCTTCTCCTGTCACTCCAGACTGTGTTCTAAAGTCCCTCTCCAGGTCTGACACCCACTGTAGAAGACCCTGCCAAAATGCTGGGCACCCTGAGATGATCCATCCTGTGTCCCTGGATGTGCCTGGGCATTGTGCAGGGTTGGGGTGCAGGCAGTGCCAGGGGGGATGTGCCAAAGCCAGGGTGTGCAGGATTCCCTGGGACAGAGGAGAGCAGGGATGTGATCAGTGAGAAGAGAAATGAAAGATGGAAATACCGGAATGGTGGCACCGCTTGGGGATGTTCAGGAGAGCTGAGAGCTTGGGAGAGAGGGAAAGAAGAGGGGTTTGAAATGTCCCAGAGGCAAACAGGCTTTGAAAGGTGCCCCTCTCCCTGGTGATGCTCCCATCCAGGACCTGGGAGAGCTGTAGGAGCTGGTGAGGCTCTTG